CGCATCCCTTAGTCAAGAGCTGGTTAACATCTGAGGGGAACTCTATTGTGAGCAAAGATGGTATGAAAGAGGCCGTGTCCAAACATGGGCTCACCAGCTCTTTGCATTAGGAATGACCCCAGATGCAAGAGGAGGAACATGATCCTCTCAGCCATCCTTGGAGCAATGGAGGGCTGGAGGGAGGTTGTACCCCAGCATTTGCCACTCTGTGCAGAAGAGGGCAGCAAGGCCTGGTTAAGGATGTTGCTGTAATGCCTGGATGCAGCTTTGGATGTTGCCTAGTTGCTCTGGCTCTGTCCCTTGAATCATTTCAGCTCTATGGTGAGCTGCATGCCACCAGGCAAGCAGCAAGGAAGGTTTCTTACCAAACTGGAGGTTATTCCTGGGAAATTCCCATTTTTCATTGTATGGCAGCTGAGTGGGATCAATAAAAATGTAGTTATTCCCTTCACAGGCCTCAATGATCTTCCACCGCACCTGGTACTTGGGTTTCTGTAAGGAAGAGACTCCAGTTATTCAATGTTCCTCAAGTCCTGAGGGTTCCCCAGTCCCAGCATGCACTCTAGCTCTCACCCTGCAGGCATAGAGGGAAAACTTAGGTTTCAGCCCATCAAATAGTTCTTGCTTTGAACCTGGACTGAGCAAGAGAGGCTTTGTCTGGACAGCCTGGTCTCTCTGCTGTTACAAACCCCTCCAAGTCATCACCCGTGACTGAGGGAGGTTCTCTTGCCTCTTTCACTTAAAGTAACCCGTTGCCTTCACTTGGTATGGCAGAGCCTGCGTGTCCCACCAGACCAGCGGCTGAGCCGTGCCCAGCTGGTGCTGGAGAGAGATGTCCCCTCTATGTCTCCTCCCTTGGTACCCTGCATTGCTGAGCACAGCAGAACAGTGGAGCTGGCCCAGCCCTGCTTCCCTTACAGGGAAAAAAAAAAAAAAATGGAGAAAGAGAAGTAAGAATTTCTTCTCTTTTCCACGAATCTCATGGCAGAAGTAAGCAGGCAAGGCAGAGAGAAGCAGTGCTGCAGCCCCTGGGCAGAGGCAGTTGCCAGCTCGTGCTGGGTGTTGTCATTCATGTTGAGAGCTAGGAAGCCGGGCTGGAGACACAAATACAGAGAAAGGCAGTGAAATGGCTTGGCATGAGAGCTCCTGTGCAAGGAGACAGGCAGGGACCTGCACCCCAGTGTGGTGAAGGTGGTCTGAGGTCCACCAAGGCAGGCACAAGGAAGCATGGGTGGAGTGCCCATGGCTGTGATGAATCACCCTCATGTCCCAGCTACTGGGAGGTCTGTGCTGAACTGCTTCCGCTCATCACTTCCCCTGGCGAGTTGCAGAGAAGGATGCAGTGTATGGATGCTCAAAACCACGCTAGCACAGGCATGAGGGACAAAACCTGAGGCAAACAGATCTGCAGTTTTGATGCAAAGCATCTGTTTGTTTTCTCCTCCACACTGCTTCTATTTCCTTCGCCTAGGAGTTGAACATCCATGCCCATGTAGGCTGTCCAAAAAGGCCCAGACAGGATGCTCCAAGAAGAAAAGTTTCTGCTGGAGGTCCCTCAAAGAATCCCACACGCACTCAGTGTATTTGCTGTTGCTGCTTTCTGCTCCGGGGTCAGCACTGCTGCTTTCTGCTCCACAATTCACCCAGCACTGCAGCAATCAGCCATGACTCAAGAAGCCCATGACTGAGATAGGTAAGATTATTTATAAACAAGTCCTGTTTCTCTTGGGTTTGCAAGGCCTTCCTAAAAGCTGTTTCTTCAGAGCTGTGCTTACACATCCATCCACCTCTCTCTGTGGACTACTGGCCACAGACAGCTCTGCCTGCAAAGCTGTAGGTGCTTGTTTGGGAGAGGGCTCTGCTGGATCTTCTGACAACCAGCACCAGAACTCTGCTGCAAAATTTGCAGCCTTGATAGGCTGTCAAAGGAAGAGTGCTAAAGGGAGAGCTGAAAAACAGGAGATTTTCACCCACTGATGAAGCAGAGGTGGCTATTGATTGGTACGATTTATGGAAACAACTGAGAAGGAATCCAAATGCTGAAAATGAGTCTTGCAGAGAAAATGGGGCAAGTTCTCATATAAAAATAGTGACCAAGTCTTCCTGGAGACAAACGCCTTCTAACATCATCCTGTTTCCCCACAAAGACAGTTTTTTATAAACCAGGGAGGAAAATAAAAAGTAGATGCAAGTTGCAAACCACTTTTTTTTCCTCTTCAATTCACTCTGTGAATTCAGGGTGGCCAGAACAAAACCAGCTACAATTGACAGCACAGAGCGAGCACCTTTGGCACCAAGGAATATCCACATTGACCTCTGGGCTATAAGACTGTGCAGCAAGGGTGGGAGAGGGGTTAACACACTGGGTTAGGTGCACGAGCCTTGCCCTGCAGCAGGAAACTCCTGGGGGAATTGGGAGGCAGTGGAGATGAGGGAGGTAGCCTGCCCAGTACCTCCAAGCTAAGTGCTCCCTGCCTGTGGCTGCCAGCAGAGGCAGCGAGGTCTCTGAGGCTGGGCAGGCCCTGCAGCCCTTGCTACCCAGCAGAGGATCTGACCTGGTTGTACTTGTAGAGGAGGAAGAGGAGTAGGAGGAGCAGCAGGACCGATGTGCCTATGCAGGTGGAAAGAATGGGGCTGAAGAGCTTGTTTGGGGGGGCCATGACATTTCCTGGAGGAGCAAAAAAATCGTGATGAGTAAACCACTCCTGTTTCAATCCCTAATGGCCCACCTCTGGGAGCATTTTGCCCAGCTGTTCACTTAGGCTTCCCCTGTATGCAACACAACCCAGCACTGGCCTCAAACACACCCAAAAGAGCTGCTGGGAACTGAGGGAAGTTCTTGATGCCAAACTCAAGGCTGCAATGGTTCCCGCCCCCCCCCGAACCCCAATTTCCACACAAAGAACACCAGGTTCAGGTCAGACTGACTGGGGACCAAGATCTGTGCAGCAAGAACAAGCCCATCAAAAGATGCAACCCCTGGACTCCAGTGGGTTGAGCAACAACTGGCTGCACTGCACACTGGAGCTAAGTCCTGCAGTTCAAAGGCTGAGCCACGCTGTGAACACCTTAGGCACCAGGCTATGCCCAGCCAGCATCTCCCACATGGCTCCTAGGGCTCGCAAATGCCAGAGCCTCCCACCTCCTGTGAAGATAGAGGGCTTGTGGAATCTATTCCACCTCTCTTGTAAGACAGTAGGGATATACGTATAGGAAGATGGGCTCTCCCAAAGCCCCCAAATTCTCCCCCACTCTTCCAAGCTACCAGTTTGTATCTTACTGGTGATGGTGACTGAGTGAAGCATGTCAGAAGCGTTCCCCTCTCTGTTAATGGCCACACAGCAAAAGGTGAAATTGGCACCCAGCTCCTGGAACGGGGCAATGCTCTCCACCTCCACCTCTTGGAAGGGCAACATGTTCATCACCTGGGGACTGGAGTCATTCAGTAGCAACCTATAGTCTTCATTGTACCTGCAGAGACACCAGGAGAGAATGAGTGGTGTTCTGCAGCACAGTTGCTCATAAGTGAATTGGTGCCTATATCAGTCTAGAGAGGAGGCACTGGGAATTAGGGCTGCAGCTCTGTGAGACACATTACTCGCTGCCCAGTGAAAAGACCTCTCTCTGAACATCAAAGCCCTTTATAGACAGAGCCTTAACTGCCTTTATGTGGCTGCAGCTGTGGCAGCAGTTCTCTCCTTTAATGGGGCTGGTACTGCGAAACAACCACCCCTGTCCAGGGAGCTGCAGTTGGCTCCCATCACGCTGTAGCTTGGTAAGCCTGTGCTCTGCAGAGCCTCAGACCTGTGGAGGCCCCAGGCAGATGAGTAGGACCAGACAGGATCTAGCTCTACAAGCAACCTACACCCGGGCACTTCTCCAAGAGACCCACATATTCCTCAGAAAAGCACTGGGAGAACATGAATCACAGGTGGCTGAACTCCTCAAGCTCAGGACTTGAGGAATAGCACCTGCTCCCTCTCCTCAGACAGTTCAAATAACCTCTTTTTTTTTTTTTTTTTTTCCCCAGCAGGGCAACATCCCTGTTGCTGTTACTGAACAGGGTCTGCTATATTGCCTATAAGCAAGCCCACATGGTGCCGCTCAGCAAATGCCAGCATGGCAAGTGCAAGGGCAGAGGCAAGGTCACGCCTGGGCACTTCTTACCTGTCAGAGTGGATGGGGCACTGGTACCACTCAATGCGTGGGGCAGGGTAGCCGATGGCCATGCACTGAAGGATACTGGAGTCATTGGCTGGCACCTTGATTTTGCAGACCCTTGGAGGAGCTGTTGGGGAAGGCAGATAATCAGAGAACACTATGACCAGAGGAAGAGCACATTCCCTGTGTTCTGATTTACTTTCCACATGTGCAACAATAAACCACCAGGAAAGCCGTGTGCTGTGCATAGGTTTGGGCTGGGTCCAACATGCAGTCTGGGTGTGTGTCCTGCAGGCACTGGGCTGGAAGCACCCTGGTACCTCTCCCTACTTGCTGCCAGCTGGGCAGCAGCTCCAGGGCAAGCAGGGTGAAAGAATGGGCAATGCCAAGCACTTACATTTCACAGAGATACTGAAGGTAACTGATGCATTGGTCTCATTGTTGAGGGCATAAAATGTATAGAGACCTCCCTCTCCTTCCTGCAGGCGGTTCAGGAAGAGCGTGGTGTTATAACTGCTCACACAGAGAGAGTGAACACTGTGAAGAAAGCTGTGCTGAGGAACATCAAACACTCACAGTCTGCTCAAAAAGATGCTGCTGCTTCCTGTGCCCTGGAGTGGGTGAACACTTCCCAGTACTAATCCCAACCCACGAGGGGAATCTCGTACTTGTTCTTCAGGGGAAGCAGGCAGGGTCTGATCTTCCTTAGAGGAAAGACCTTTTGCCACCAAGTGCACAGCACTTCTGAAAGGCTATAGGTAGGTGAATACTCAGGAGAATTTAACATCTAAATCATTGCCTTTGAAGGGCTAGAGGATGCTGGTCCTCCTGCCTTTGACAGAATGAGTTATTCCTCCCATTTCTTAGCCCATCAAGTCATGGTCCCTAGTGCCCACTCCCCTCTGCCCCCAGCCCATTTCTCAGATCCAGATGCAAGAAAGCGATCATGCTTGCTGAGTGGCACAGTTCCTCTTGTGGATTATTTTGGGTTTCTAAGAAAATGAAAGGGGAATTGCCAAAACTCCCCATCAAATGGAATGATTCTCTTTCAGTCTCCTTTTGGCCTCAGTTGGCTGCAGGCTTTGGAAGAGCAGGGCTGTGCTCTCCATTAGCTCTTATCCACATAACAATGTTTCTGGTTTCTCTTGACATGGGACATACAGTGCCGCTCGGTACATACACTCTCCAGACCGCAGAGCATGGGACAGGTCTGAGGAGTAGCGAGGGAATTCAGTTTTTTGTACAGTTCATCCATCCCTGCAATTTCTTCTTGCAAGGAGAGTGTGAACTTGAACAACTAGACCACAAATGTGATAGTGACTTCCACAAGGTTTTCTAAAAAGATGGCTGCCACGTTAGACAGAGGTGGTGTCCTCCTTGACCTGATCAGACCTGCTGACTGTGGTTTGCTAATAATGCTGGAAATAGAAGACAGAACGGCAGAACAGTTCCCCTCTTTGAAACTAGAGACTTTTCTGTGAGCCAGTAGCATGGGGTTTGCCTGTCTCACAAAGAAAGCACTATTGGAAATGTGCTATGGCCAGTGTGGAAGAGAGAGAGCACATACCAGTTGTTTCCAGAGACCATTTGGCCCTTGAATGTGGTACTCCCAGAGCTCTTCAATGGGTTCGTATGCTCCCAGCCCCAGTGGAGAAGTTTCGGGTAAGCCTCAATGTGGACCTGCAGCTTCAGACTCTCTCCCAAAGCAACCTCCTGGCTGGTGGCTTGCACTGGGGTCAGGAACACATAGCCTCTCTCTGCAGGATGGAGGAGAGCATGACCATCAGCAGTCATCTCCAGAGACCTGAAACAAGCTTATACCAGCTTCATAAATGGACCATTATTGGAAAGGGCAGCTGGGAGACTGCAGGAGGGAATGAGGCATTACACAGATTACGTTGTTCCTTTGTCATGGCGGTTTGGATTACACTCTGCCTGAGGAGAGCTAGAAAAATCTTAGTGAACTCTCATGGGGAAAGAGGTTTTATGTACTGTATCCTAATAAGAGATGAGGCTAAAACTGTATCTCCTGATCATCCATAGAAGATGTGCCCCTTAGCTAAAGTCACTTGGAAACAACTCAGACCAAGCCCTCTTTCTGAGCCATGGTATGCAGTGGCTTTGGATCATCAGCAAACCCCAGCCTATGAGGATGAATTTTCCATCTTGAGATACAAACAAGTGTATAATAGACCTGACTCCTCTTAGGTGGATCTGTTACTGGAAGAGACAATAATCCATACTCCACTTACATGGCTTTCCCTTCTAGCCAGCCTTTCCTGGTCTTCAGCATAACTTTGCCCCATTCTTTTTTTGTTTTCAAGTTGTTTATAAACACACAGAAACTGAAAAGAGCTTTCCAATTTTTCATCCAGAAACCAAAAAATGTTCTTCTGCCCCTCAAGACATGAAGGGAACACCAGTTCCTGTTCTACCAGCTCCACAGTTCTCATGTGAACCTTCAGGCACAAGCGAGAATGATGTTTCCAACAACAAAACTAGGAACAAGATGGAGGCAGAAGCAGCAAATACTCAAGGCTAGGTGAGGTTCAGCCCACACCTTCCTGGTCTTTTGGGGAAGCACTCACCTACTACCTGAAGCATCGTCGAGGCATTCCAATTAGCTATACAAGTGTATTTCCCACTATTTTCCGTGGTCACTGCTGCAACAGACAGGGTGGCGCTGATGAAGTAGTTGTCGTTTTCAAAGCTAGGCTTTTTAGTTGTCACAACCTGTCAGGCAGGGAGGGAACATCAGGCACCTTCTTTGAAGGGCAGAGGATGGAACTGAATGATATTTATGACAGACATACCCACCCTCTCCTGTTCTGGGCTACTGAGCTTTGTTATAGAGCCCCTGTCACTGAAAGCCATTTGTATGGAGACCAAGAGGCATATTAAACCCAAGTATTCAGGGCAGATATTCTACAGCAGTTAGGGTTATAGCTATTGTCAGCCTTCTGACTGCAAGCTGGCCTTACGTTGTGTGATCCAAACATATCTTGTGTGTTATTTCAACTCCTTAATAAAGGCATCAGATATAATAAGGACTTCTAGCAAACCTTATCTAACCATCTAGCAGTTAAAAGTCAGCACAACAGACATTTTGAAATGCATTCCTCCTCTTCACCCATATCTTTTCTCTGGGGAACTGTGTGTCCTGAACAAATTTGCTGCTTTTGTAGAGGGCAGGGTGAAGAAGCTTTGCCTTAGGTACTGTGGCTCCTGCTCAATGAACTCAGCTGAAACAACGAGTTGTCCTTCTCTCTTGCAGCAAGATCCTGACAGCGGGCAAGTGTTTCTTAACCCTGTGTCACCCCAAGGAAAGGACAGCCATATTCAGATTTCTACAGCTTGTTTGAATAGCTGCTTTGGTTGGGCAGTTCAAGGCTTTGCTACAGGTGATTTGGGTCTGGGCAGTTCTTACCACCCTATGTCTCCCAGGAAAACCCTATACCCCTTTGGAAGCCGCACAACTTACATTCTTTGCTGCTGTCATCCATCTGATGTCATACTTGTGGGAAGGAGCAATTACTCTGCAAGTGACTTCAAAGGGTTCACCCACGATTCGCACATGGTCTACAGGGTCCATCATCACTGACACAGGCTTCTCCAGAGCTACACAAATGCAAGCAGGGAAAGATTCAATGTCAGCTGGCCCAGTGACCCCGTGTGCTTTAGAGACTCCCCAGGGCCTGGCTACCTTCTCCTTTCCATCCTCTTCGGTCTCTTTACCCCCAGCCTTCTCCTTCCCTAGGGATCATCACTTCTTTTGTGCATGTGTCTATGGGAAGCAGTACAGGGAGAGCACAGCAGTCAGCACTGTGGGTGGAAAGGGACGGGGAACCTTCTGCTGTGGTTACGTCCTGACCACCGGGGCCTGAGGACTTGCAGAACATCAAGGACATAGGTGGACTTTTTTCTCTGTTCTGTGATAGTGCCTGCAAAGATCGGAACACTGCTGACCCCATGGAGCCCCACCTGAAGGAGCCAATTTGCTAGAAGCTGATGGAATTTTGCCTCCATTAAATACCCTTTAAAGACTGCAGGTTCAGAAGGTCTTTCCTACCACTGGCAAGGAGCTTTTCCTTAATCTACCTACTGTGGCCAGCTTGGCTATTGCCATCTCCCTGAGGACAGCAGCAACCCAAATCCTTTACCTTCTTCCACGATCAGTCTTATTCTTGATGACTTCTCTATTTTTCCATTTATCATTGCTTGGCATCGGTAAAAGCCCTTCTGCTTGCTTTTCACATTGTATAGTGTTATTCCTTTCTCAGCACTGAAAGAATAGTTGGTCCCGGGTGAGAGATGAGAGGCGTCATCCATTATCAGAGTCACACTGGATCCGTACTCGGGGGCCGTGATGAGACAGGGGAACTCAGCATTACCACCTTTGGTCACAAAGATACGGAAAGTCGGGGTGTACCACACATTATTGGGATCTGCAGAGGAGACAAGGTAGGCCGGAGAACGGGATCACAAAGTGCACTGAAGCTGCGAAACATATTCTGGCAAAGGCAAGCCTCCAGCGTTGCTGCCCAGTGGGAGTTCGATGCTGGGGCAGCCCTGCTCAACGCCTGGCTGACTCAGCCTCCAAAAACTCACACAACAAGCCCAATGCAAGCTAAGGCATTTGAGGAGAGCTCAGCAATCAACTCACAAATGTACATGGGCTAGAGAGAGTGAGAAACATACTTACCTCTAATTAAACTTTTCACCGTGGTGTTAGTTTTATTTATCAGACCTTCAGCTTCCCTGTCCATGACAGTATTGCTGGTAAAAGGGAAGCGGTGAACTCAAGTGGTGGAGCTACCACAGTATAACTTCTTCTGGGGTAAAAGAATATTTGGGGTTCCAGTCATGTTGTGAGGATGTGATTCATGTGACTCTCTCCCTATCTGGGTATATTCCCTACTGGCAATACCAGTATTTGGAAATTGCTGATTTCCAGATCTCTCTGCTCATTACAACACTGAACAGACTTTCATCCCTGTTTTTTCAGAAAGGGAAGCCAAGGTAAACGGAGGGAGAGGTCCAGGCCGTTCACAGATATACACGAGATGTAGATGCTTTGTACTGTACCCCAGTGCTTCAGCCATGGGCCCCGTTGTACGTGGGCATACATGGTTGTGCACGAGCCACTGCCCCAGTAGGAGCCTGCACCACTCCCCCAAACACACAACCTCAGCCAAAGAGAGGAGCCATGTAACTGCCATGCTCCCCAAAAGGAGACTGTTCTGCCAGCATATGTGGGAAGAGGGAAGCATGGTTACCTCGCACAAACAGATGCACAGTTGCAATGCCCTTGTCACTGCTGTTGACGTGAGCGCACTTATAGGTACCCGTATCCCTGTAAGTGGCCTTGGGAATAGTGAGCGTGCTGCTGGTGTGGTTGCTGGATGTATTCTTTTGGCTTTTCCATTCAACTTTGGACTCTCCTGAGCAGTGCAAGATGACTGGATCACCCGTGTTGACAACTAGAGCAGGGAGGTTAGGGCTGATCACTGGGGATGCCAAGCCTATGAAGGAAAAAGAGAAAGACTAAGGATGCAAAAGTGATCCCTAATGATACTCTGTTGAAGTTCACACTGCTGAGCACGGAATAGCTCAGCATCAGGAAGAGGATGGGCTTGCATCACTCTGGCCATTCTCTGTCCCACCAGACCAATATGACCTGATACACCCAGGAATGAATTTCAGGGAAGAGATAAAAACCCACAAGTGAACATTTAGAGCACTGCAACAGAAAAACCCAATCATCTGGAGCTGATTAGGCCAGATGCTAACTTGAAAATTATTTCTGTTGGGTTTTGCCTCTTCTTGCAACAGTTGTTCTTTTGTGGCAGAGCTGGAGCTACTGTATGAACTTGGATAGCCCATAACACCATTTGGTGATGTTTAAGCCAAGTCTAGTGGATGGGGTCTCTTTGTTGCATTGGGGCTGTGATGAACTGGAACAGACCTGGAAAGCTTCTGCAGAGCAGGAGGTCAGTGCATGACCTTTTCGGGAAGACTGGCTTTTTGGCTGCTGGGCAGTGGATTTTGAAGGACACCTACTTATGCCTCATCATAGAGTCAAACACTGTGTTTTCCCTGCAGATACCATCAAAACATTATGAAGTGAGTCAGTATCATTATTCATATTTGGGGGTGGGAAACTGAGGCACAGAAAAACTAAACAGCTCATGAAAGCCCATAGCTGCAGTTGTACATACAGCACGTCAGGCCATGCTGACACTGGCATTGCAACCCAGCTGGATTTCCGATGCCATCTCTACTTTGAAGATGCCTTCTCTGCTGGCTGAATAAAAGGGAACCAGGGTCCCACTCCAGCACTTAGTGTCAGAGTGAAATATTTTTTCCCATTTTGCTGTGTCAGCAAGTTCTTTGAGTCACCACCTATATTTAGGGTGGGGGGAAGTGAGAAATGAATCAGTGCCGCGGGGCTAGGGAAGAAGCAGTACCGCCACCCCCACGCCAGGCCTTTGGGGAGGACAGGAAACACATTGCAAATGGCTATCTGTGCTCAGGGGGCTCTGCACCCCTCTCCGGCCCCAATCCAGGGCTATTCTCCCACTTCTGCTTTCCTTCCCGGTTGCTAACCCACTGTCACATCTTAAAGGGACATGCACTCAGGTTCAAGTATAGTAAGCAGAAAGGTAGCCGCCCAACTTATCAATTTGTTGGTCTTCATAGAGGAGGTCACTGCAGGCAGTGCTCCTCTTGGGTGGTGGCAGCAGAAACAGGGCCTGAGTTTGGTCTTGTGATGCCTCAAACTCTGCAGCAGACTGCTCTAGGCTCACAGGAGCTCTTTAGTTGAAAGATTTGTTGTCCAAGTGAACATAAAAACCCTAACTCATGAAGAAGTGGAAGAGGGCAAAGCAGCCTGTAATGGTGCCATTGGTCTAGCTGCACTTTTATATCCTTCAGGGGAAGGGGAGCAGTGGCTAGATGTTACAGCCCTTGTTGCAGGGAGAAGAGAAGGCTGCTTATGGTCATAGGTACTAAAGACAGTTTACAGTACATCTGTTCCCAGGTGCTGCCTTGGATGCTATCCCTGTAACACAGCCAGCAGAAGCAGCACACACCCATCCTCATCCACCCCTGCTCACAGCTCGTTTGGTGAGGAAGACTACACCCATGGTACAAATGTGTGTCCTGTGCTACCAGCTGTAATCAGGGCTGTAACACCAGAGCCCACCCATCAGAGCTCAAAGAACATCATTTAAACAGTCTTGGGCGGATGCCTCCCTCCATGCAAAGGGTTGAGAATACAAGACTCGAGGCCCTGGAGAGTGTTGCTAGTGTGTGACAACAATGCAGTTGCCCAGGGGAAACCCAAACAAGGCTTAGATCAAACTCACTGGCCCTGTGGGAAGAAGCAGAGGACAGGGAGCTTCAGAGCATGGAATATTTGACATTTTATCTCCCTGTTTTGTTCTGGGGGTTTTTTTTTTGTGATGCTTTTATCTTTCTGTGGAAACAGGAAAAGCCTCATTTATTCCCAAAGCAGAGAAAAACATCCCAGAATCCTTTACAAAGCCACATTTTCCACATATCTGAGGTACAACATTCCTCCCTTTTTGCTAAGCTGTGTTTTCTACTGGGGCTTGACATGCTTCTGTTGCTTTAACTCTGTCACTGGCTGCTTCTCCCTCACCTATTCTCTGCTCTAGCTATCCCTCCACATCCAAGGCTTCAGCACCATTTGATGGGGGAGCCAAGCTCTTTGACTCAGAGCTGCATTCAAACTGGCTCAGGGAAAGACCGTGTTGTAACTGGTCCTTAGTTTGGCCACAGCAGGACAACAAGAAAAACAAGAGTCACATCACTCCACATCCTTGTTGTCATCAACCTCCAGTTACTACTGAGATGCTACAGCCAGAAAAGGTTCGGGGTAAGTGCTTTCCATAACAGTGAAGAAGCCAGCAGCCTTTAAGCTATCTCTGGAGACTCCTGACAATGGCACAACCACCACACAAGCGGAGTGAGGACAGACAGGGCAGAGACACTAAATGCAGGACCATGCCAGGTGAAGGCCCCAAGCATCCACTCCTTTGTCTGTGCTGGGGGATGAGTCAAACCAGCAGGTCCTTTTCCAGAATGGGGAAGCAGGACTGCTGGGGAAGGCTTTCTCCCTGCTGACCAGTGTGCAATCTTGCACGAAGCCCAAGGATGTCTCTCTGCTGCTCTCCAGCAGCTTCCGCAGCATTGCTGGTAACTGCTGGCCAAAGGTTTTACCACACTTGGGTTGTGTAACCATGACCTCTAGTTACAGCTACAGGCTCTGTCCCTACCTCTCCCATGCCAGCCAAAACATTACTTTCCTTTGCTGAGGGTTTGGAAATGGTGAGGAAGGAGAAGTGAAGGCTGGTAAGACAGAGAGGCTCAAGAACCTTACCACAGAAGCCAGTCATCAGAACCTTGACTTGGTCCTGGGGGATAACTAGGCTGAGGTCTGGTCCTGGGATGAGACCCATACCAGGACTGAGCTCCCCTTGCTCCCTCCTCAATGATGGGAGGACAAGGCTTGGTTTCTGAGGCCACCTTCCCCTGAGTCACCTACAGTATCTGAGGGGCAGGGAACAGGGAAAAGGGTGTGTATCACATCTCTGCCTAGGGCTTCTACCTCAGAGGCTTAGATTCATCTACAAGAAAACAAAAGAAACCACAGGAAGATATCTCAAGATGGTGAGGAACACAGATTGAGCTGATCAGGTTTCAAATCCTTCCTCTGCTTGATCCGGAGCTGGGATGTGAGCCCCTGACACAATGGTCATACCACATCAGTCCAGGGTGCTCTTGGAAGATGCACTTGCAATCCAAGAGGTAAGAGAAGGAAGTCAAGCTCTGGTTCCTGCTTGAGGCTATTGCTTTGGACAACTTTGGCATGCTGCACACAGTCAGCAGCAGTGGTACTCAAACAAATGTATGTCTAACACACTGACATGGAAGGCAATGCCTGATCAGGATGTCACAGCTGGTGACTTGCATTGCCCAGTGCCTCAAGGAACCTTTGGAGAGATCCTGACAGATATCATTATCTCTCAAATCTATATCAGACCTGCCTAGTCCCTATTATCTTAAAAAAGCATGAGAAATCAAAAACCTTGCAGCCTTCACAACCCAGTTCCCAGCACAGCAGACCTGGAAAAAGCATGCTCAGCATGTCAAAGACAGAACTTGAAGTGAAATGCCATGCAGTGCAACAGCAAGAAGGATGCAAATTTCCTGGCCTGAAAGTGTAAACACAGTGATGGCTTAAGAGGGATACACTGCCTTCATGTTACATGCTGAATGCTTTCCCCTCCTAGATTGCCCCCTTCCCACCATAGTCTCATCATGTAGGGAGCAAGCTCAAAAGGATAATGAAGCAAAGCATCTCAAGATCTGAGAGGCTGCCAGCACTTAAGATGCAATATTAGTAATACTGGCTTCTGTCTGGTTGCAAACCTCAAACAGGCTTAGTGACTCTTTCTTGAGGTTGATGGGTTATCGCCTATTGGCCATCTCTGCAACCTCAAAACCCAGGTGTATTCACTTTTGCCTCCTTGGCCATCCAAGTTCTGTTTCCATCACAAGGTCTCACACCTGGCTCTACAGCCCTGTTGTGGGCACCAGCACCACCAGAAAACAGCAGTCCTCAGACATCTTCAGCCAGGCACAAGGTGCATTGGAAGGTGCCGATGCAGCCAGCTTTCCTGACTTTCGCCTGCAGGTCAAGTTCTCCAGCTCTTGCCCCATTTGGGCAAAGAGTTATTTCAGAGATGACTTTCCTCAGGACGCACTTTCAGCTGAACCTCTCCTTCCTCCTAATGCCCATCCAGACCCAAACAGCAGGAAGTTTCCCTTTCCTTCTCTCCACTACCAAGGCTCTTCCTATGCTACGCGCACCTTTCCATACCCCTTGGCCTTATCCTGACAGTGCTGCAGGCTGCCAAGAGCAAGTCCTCAGCGCAGCTGCTCCAGAGTCAGCACAGACTTGCAACACACCCTCTTTCCACCACTGACCTCCCTCTATAGAGACAGCCAGTTCTGGATAGTCTTCAGGAAGCTGCTAAAGCCAAGCCTGCACTAAAAGCCAAGCCAGTGTCTCTTCCCTGCTGTGCCATGGGGTGGACATGCTCTCCTGTCTGCTCCCCTGCCCATGCCAAGGCTCTTGGAACGTGCCCACAGCAGTGGTAGCTGCCCTGTGAAGCAGCCTCCAGAAGCAGGGACTGTCCCAGCCCACAGCTGGCTTTTGGTAGACACAATCAGGAGCCCAGCTTCACCCTCCACCACCAGGACCTGAGTGCCCATTAGTCCAACTTCAGCATTGCCCCGTCCCCACCGAGGCTGTCACCCCTCCTCACCCAAGGAGGGAGGGAGCACTCACACCAGACACCCAGAAAACCCTCACCACATCCCAAGCTTGCCCCAGAGTGACATGGGGACACAGTAGGGCTTTGGGGGGGGCCAGTGGACCTACCGTGCTGGATGCCAGCTGCAGTGAGCAGCAGCAGGAGAGCAGGACCCATGTCCCCAGGGACCACGGTGCCCCCAGCGCAGAGCAGGGACGCAGCTGAAGGATCCTCTCAAGCAGTGGGCGCCTCTCCTCGTGGGCACCGTCCCCAGCACTCCCTCAGCAGGAGCTTCTCCTTTCTGAGCTGACCACAAGTTAAGAAATTCCTTTTTTTTTTGTTTGTTTTTGAAACAGAAGGGGAAAAAGAGAGGCAAGTGATGCTTTGAGACGTCACTGGTGACAAATGCCCCTGGCAGAGGTGGGGCCATGCACACACCCCACTGCAGGGCCCCTCTGCTCTTGGGGCCACCCTCCTGCCACAGACTCTCCTCAGAGAGGGGTTCAACCCCAAACCACTCCCCAGGGCTGACAGGGCCACTGCACCATGCCAAGGTTCAGGACAGTCCCAACCTGCCCTGGCTACTGCCACCCAAACCCCAGGTACTGCTGCACACTTCCTTGGGGACACCAAGAGCCAGGCTGCAACCCACCTTTGTGGCAGGGGACTTCCTTTTACCTCAGACCCTGTGGCTCTTGCTGGCTCCAGGTCCTGAGGGCCAACACAGAAACGTGGCTGACTCCCCCACAAAAGTGGTTCAGCCCTGGGCAGCTCCCAAGTGGGGAAAATACCTGTAAAGATGACAAATAATTTTGTTTTAACCAAGAACATTATCCCCAGTGCAGAGATGGGTCCTGTGGCCACACAAGATCACCCTCAAGCCCCACTCCAGCACTATGCAGAGCCAGGGTCAAGCCCAAGCAGCTGTAGGTTCACCTTCACTGCCCTTCCCAACAGGGAGACATGTTGGGATCCAGCCTGCAGACCCATCCCTGTCCCCAGCTCTCCTCCTCTCCCAGTACCTCCAAGCCTGGGGCTCACAGCAACCCTGTTACCATCAGGCAGCTGCAGGACTCAAGCATGGACCCCCTTTTCTCCAGGAGCCCATCGTACCCAGCCCTCCTACCCTGCTGCTGGGGAGGCTTTTTGAAGCTGTTTTCTAATGACAACCTGGCAGGCACCTGGGAGCAGTAATTGGGCACTTGGTTAACCCTCCCCTGGACTGTCCCCCTTCCAAAACAGGGTGTGAGGGTAGGCTTGAAGCAAAGCAGCTCTCCCAGGGATGCTCAAGTTAGCAAGATGTTAGCTGGTCAAGTCAGACACAGGGTGCCCCTTGCTCTCTGTTCTGGCTCAGGATAACCTCACACTGCAGCAGAAGTTCATGTCAGTTCACAGCAGCTCTGGGGTGGGACATTACAGCCACCACCTGACAGTGCTGGGAAGCACAGGGGAAGAAGGTCCTCTCTGGGGTGAGCCCTGGGGCTCTGCCTTAGCTGCACCCAGCTGCAGCCCTATCAGCGGGGAGGTGACGGGAACACGGGCTGTGAAATGCGGGCAGAAAGAGATAGGCTTTTCCAAAATGTCTGCACAGAGGTGGCTGTTGAATCTGCACTTGCAACGCAAAGGTGCCAGGCAGAGGGGTGCCCCTCATGCCTCTGCAAACTGGAGGGGAATGGGCTTCTCAAAGAGGGCAGTCAGAGTGGTACCAGCAAGACAGTGTCTTGGGGCCAAGAGATGAGAGCATGGCTGACTGTGCTGAAGATGACTAAGAGTCATGGGAACATGGAGAGAGCTCTTGGTTTTGGCTAGAGGGATAGCTGGAGAGCATGAAGGAGTCCAGAGAGAAGGAAAGGCAGCTTTTGGCTGGAGAAGATTTCCTCTCAGCAGTTTTTCCTGGCAGGATGTGGGGAAGAACTCAAAGTAGAGGCAGCGTGGTGCTCTGGGGGACTCTTGCCCAGAGCTGGGGGGCTGTTGAGTGGCTGGGCCACAGGAGACGTCTGCCTGATTATTCTTTCCTCCTTTTGAGCCAAAGGGGCTTTTTAAAGGATGTTTGTTTCCCTCCTTCTTCTTTTTAAGTTTGCTGTTGTTTTTTTTTTTTTTTTTCCAGGAACAAATGCCAGCTCAGAGAGAACTGACTCACCAGTGTGAACAAGTATTAAACCAGACACGTTAAATACAAAGAAGGAAACAATCTCTCAGCCTCTCTTGTCTTTGAGGAGGCCCCTTGTGGAGCGTCTCTGATGGCAGTGGTCCATAGGTGACCAGTCACAGCCTGTGCTCACAGGTCTCCAAGCTGGGCTGGGTACACCTGGAGATGCTCAGGCTAGTGGGACAAGCTGTCTGCTGGGATTCCTCCCTCACTAGTGGCCATCTCTTCCTGCCTGCAAGCTGCACCCCAAATCCTGTGGTTGCAAGCAGCAGCTGAGCCACTGGCACTGGCTCATGTGCCCAAGCAGCTCTGAGCAAGGAGCAGGGATGCTCTCAAAGAAGCTGCAGCCTTACTTGGAGTAACTCCAATCCCAGGGATGTCAGTGGAAGTCCTGATGGCCAGGAGGGTGTGCTTGAGGATGGCTCCAGCCCTACAGGACCCCTGCACTGAGTATAGCTGGCCATGGTGTCATGTCTGCCTGTACTGCCCTGCAGCAGTCTGCGGACACGTGTGAAACACACATGTCCCAAGTGACCCAAACAGCTAAAAACCCTGGTTGCAGCAGGCCATGCTTGTCTCTGCAGTCTGAGTTTCTCTGCTTCCCTGAGCTCTTCCACGAGGTGCCTGTCTCATCACTGGAGAGGAGACTTGTTTTGTGGTGGGGAAAATGTCCTGCTGGGAGTCTCCACATCTACCTACTCATTCCTAGCCCCATGACCCCTCCTTGGTGCATCCCAACATGCCAGGAAGGGATCGGGCAGTGGGAGCCAGCTGGGTCTAAGGCTGAGGTCTACCAACTCCCCCTCCCTGCTTCCCCCCAAGCCTTTGCTGCAGCCTCTTTGGAGATGAGGTGATTTTTTTTTTTTCCCCTGCTGATTCAGCTCCTGGAGAAAAATGCCCTGTCTGCCTGTTGTGGCTGAGCTGTGCCAGGTGACTCAGAGCGTATCTGCAGAGAATCAGCCCACGTTGGTCAGGGAGCCTGGCAAACTGAGCAAAGACAGAAGCCCAGGATAAGCTGGAGAGGGGAGCCTTGCTGGGACTTGGACCTGTGTCCTGCTGCAGCCAGTGCCTTGGGCCTTTGGGTACACAAGGGGTTTTCAGGAGCTGAGGGAGTCACAACTGCTGCCAGAGAGGACTTGCACCAGAGCTGCATCATGCAGACAGGGTCAAACATTGATATAGTTGAGCCTCAGTTCAAAATCCCCTCTCCGCAGCAACCCCAGGCTTTCCACACATGTGGCTCAGAGCTGGCTGCAAACAGCTCCGCTCAGCAGCATGGGGTCATTTTCAGGAGGAGCAGTTTCACTGGAGCCAGAGAGAGGAGAACACTTTGGGCCAGACTCAGGAGGTTCCTGTCTGCCATGGAGCTGGGGGACCCTGGCACTTCTGGAGAGGTGGCTGGGGAAGGTGAGGGGAGCAGGAGGAAAGCAGGGGGACATGTGGACCTGAGGGAGTGGTAGTGTGGGGAGCCAATATTTTTGGGTTGTGTCTTTAAAGGGTATCAGTGAATTCCTCATCCCAGAGGGAGGGGAGGAGAACCCAGCTCAGAGGAGAGTGGGACACAGGGAGCCCTGTGCACTGCAGCATGGCTCCCACTGGTGCCTTACCCCATCGCTACCCCCAGTCTCTCCCACTACCCTGAGCTATTGAACTATGTGGAAAAAATCAGCAGCGCTGTGGTGTCCCCCAGCCCCTTCAGCCCAGAACTGTTCAGTCTGGCAGCTCCCACATCCCTGCCCTGATCTGAGCACAGACCCAGCAATGCCCCCAAGGAGCATGTCAAGGCTGCTGGAGCACGCTTGGGGCTGCTGGCCCAAACCTTGGGCACTGGGGATACACATAGGAACTCTTCCCAGTGTCATTCCCCCTACCCACCCCCTCCCAGTAAGAGATGACCCACAAGCTGGCCAGTTACCAGACAGATGGGGCAGATCCTGCCCTGCTCGCAGCCCCTCTTCCTCACCACGTCTTTGGGCTCAGCTGTTGTCTTGCTGTCCTTCTCTCTGCCTGGCTCCCAGCTTGGCTTTCACTAAGCACTGGGGTCATGCACAGCGTATTAACATGCTTAGCCTTCACCCACGACATGGTTAAGCTGTATTCCCAGCCCCATCTGAGTGGGAGAAACCAAAACCAGGCAAACAGAGGAAGAGATGGAACTTTGCAAAAAGAAAAACACTTTTATTTTTAAACTCTTTCTTTAAAAACGTATTTGTAAAAGTTTACAGCATAAAAATAATGTCTCATGGCTATAGATGTGACATAGTACAAATCCTACAAATACATCTGTAAACCTAGGAAAATGTTAACTCTTTGGTACCTTAGTCTGAACTCTGTTTTTTCCTTTTCCCTCAGGATGGTTTCTGACAGAAAGCGTGGAGGCAGGTGCTGCTTCAGTTCAGAGATGCTGCAGAATAACAGCGTGATGCCAGCAAGCCAGCACAGCAGGAGTGGGAGAGGGCAGAGGGCACGCTTTGAGCACACTTTGCAGTTCTGGTGCAATCCATGAAGGAGGAAAGGACAGGAACGATGGGATGCTGCAGGCCTCCCAGCACAAGTTGGCTTCCCTGCCTCTTCCCACCCCTGCAGAAGTCATCTCTCCAAAGTGCTGCTGGAGCTGCACTGGAGCAGTTCCCCTGCCTTTGCCAAAGCCAACTGGATCCATCTTGGCGTGTCCCGGAGACCTCAGCCCTCTGCGTGAAACATGGGAATTATGCTGGGAGTCCAGCTACCCATGTGCTGGCCTGCAAAATCTGATTTTTTAACAATACCTGGCCTGCCCTGGGCAAGTCCTGCAGAGAGTATGGTGTCTCCACCGTTACAGTCATCCCTGGCTGCTCAGCAGCCATGCAGGGCTGGGGTTTGCTGCGGGAAGGACCTGTACCTGGCCCAAGAGCTGCCCGGTGCCCAGTGAGGACCTGCAGCTGCCCTGGCTGCTCTCTGCCTGTGCAACCACCCAGGGCAAAGGCTGCCAAAAGGCTGCCGAGGGCTGCCAAAGGGAAACCTTCATGTTCTCCAAGTGGGAGCACAG